TTTGTTTTTAGGAAAGGTGTGTATTTCGTTTTTCTTCTTTTAATAAAAGAATTAACCTTGAAGCTATCATTGGAGGTCTAATATTCTTTTCCAATGAACATCAACATCAACAACACTCTATTTAACGCTATTTAAACGTATATTCGGCTGCGAAACCACACCTTCCAGCAATGGGTTGTGCACTCGGTCTGAGAAGCTCGAACATCAGCGCCGCATTTTCCAATTTAGAAAAAGAATCGAAAGAGTTGGGTCTATCTGTATACGAGTACAAGAAATAGTACTTCCTGGCAACACATAAAAAAGTCCTCACGTTCTGGGACACACGTCACTGTTAGCAGTTATAACTTTGAGGTAATCAAGGACTTGTTCTACCTAGAATCTAGCATAAGCCTGGAGATCAAGATCTAAGGCCCTGTCGCGTCGCCAAAGATTATCGGAGAAGATGGAATGACGAACTGTACGAGTTGTTTAACATGGACTTACATGATGACGCTCCCAGAGTGGACAACAAAAGCTAGGGCTGAAGAACCTATCTGCACTCGAGATGTACAGCTAGCGAAACCTCGCAAAGATGAAAGACAATTGGCAAAGTTCTTTGGTCTCAGCCCAAACCGACGAACAGTTGTAGAGTCAAACAAGAAGAAAAGGAAAGCTCATAACACCGAAAGGGATTATAATTAATTTTGTATTTATTTACATTGGCTCCGAGACACACATTAGCTTTCTTATAAAGGCAGCATTTTATGGTACCCCTATCACCATTCGAATTTTACCATCAGTGAGGGGCACATTCAGATTTTCCAAAAACACATATAAGGGGGATACAAATGCTGCTAGCTTTCAAACGTCAACTAACGGTAGGCGTAGTAAACGTGTCATTGTGAAGGACTCGGGCGCAAGAGAAAGAAGAGAAAGAAGTGAAAGCAAAGACGTGATTGGGGTCGACTGTCCCCAAGGGGTCGAGTCCGAATAAGCAAGAGTTAAACCTACTACGGTATCCAGACCTAAATAGCGCCAAAGTTACGCGTTTCCCTCGAGGTAGGATAGACGAGGTCGGTTACGGTAGAGGGTACAAAGCTAGTATTTTTCCCTACTGTGAATGTTGTTTATGGCCTGTCTGTACATCGTCGATCCCAGTAGTTGTGTGGTGCAAATATGTTGGTTGGTTGGTAGAAGCGTCGCTTGAGTATATTCCCGGGACCCAATTAGTGCTGAAAGCACCATTTTGATACGCTTTCTCTGGGACCCTTGATTTTATCTGCTTTCACGATTCATTGGGCTCGTCAAACCATTTGGATTTTCCGAGGAATCTATTTAGCTTAGTAATGGTGAATTTTGAAACCTCCCGAAGATTGTGGGTGGAAAAACTCCCGAGTGTGTTCTGCCTTATTTATGTCAATGCTGGGCACTCGCAAAGATAGTGTAGGAACGTTTCTTTACTTCCCTCCCGTTATACCCTCTTCTGTATCTTCATAGAGATTCCTTCCAGTGTGCCTAGTAGGGATCTCTGCTGCCGAAAAGTGTCCATCTGGTAGTTTATTCACACTTTATTCACAAGTAGAAAAAAGGTTTGGTGTGCTGCCGGCATGGATATTTAATTATAGCTTGACCTTCTTCGACCAGCTGGTAAAATGTGTTGCCTTAAAGTGAAGAAGCGAGAAAGATCAGAGTAAAAGCCATTTATTTCCAATACAAGCCATCAATGCCCCAATATTTGGCAGTCTTTAGCTATGATATCAACGAAACTAACTCTCTCGTCTGATGAAGCTGCGAGATGTAGAATTTATACAGCAGAAAGGAGAGGACCACTCTGTGTGCAACCTCTGTAATTATTCTCAGCTTTAAGGTTTGATCTCGAAAGAGTGCTAACGAGGGTTGAATATAGAAATAGTTCACCGCCCCTGCCTTAGTGCCAATGTGCTCCCACTCGTAGTAGCGTTTCAGATTTTCATGTGAAGAGGTGTTTTGTGTCATGCGGGGACTGCCGCAGTACCAGGCGGTTGCCTCCTCGCTCTCGTCCGTTTTTGTGGCGCAGGTAAGCGTGGAAACTCTTTGAGTGCTAGGAAACACCGGCACGAGCTTTAAACAACCGCGGAGGTTTTGTTTGCCATTTGGCGTGAACGACAAAAGGCTACATACCTATGTGATCTCTGGACAGAAGAGGTCTCTGCCAGTTCCATATGTTGCACCTAGCCGGATTGGAGTTCGAATGGAGTCTTTTTTGGCATACGCAGCAGATGTAAGTTTCTGGACCGGATTTGGGCTCCATTTCGGCTCGAACTAGAAGAGTTCGGGGCAATCAAGGAACGGACAAAGGGAAGATTTTGCGGATCTAGACGGGACTATCGCCGAAAAGGCTTACCACACGCCTCGAGAAATTTCGACTTCGCGAGCAGTGGAACCACATTTCCCGCTAATTAAGTACAGCCACCGAAAGAGTAAGCGGATTTCTGCGAACCTGAAAGATCAACTGGTACGATAAGGACTGTAAAAAAAGCTGCCTACAGGGCCACTCTGCTAACGGGTGCAACGCAAGCCATGGGAGATGTGGGCAGGGCAATCCCACTGCTTAAACCGGGGAATCCCGCCAATAAAGAAGTCTTATCGCCCGATTACCCTCCTTTCCCCGCTAGCAAAGACACTTGAGGCCTTACTACTCCCGCACTACACAAACCACCTGACCCCAGACAGTCATCATCATGGGTTCCGTAAAGTGCACAGCACAACATCAGCACTTAACGCCATAAACACCCAGATACGTCGTGGCCTTAACCGAAACCGCCCCTGTGAGAGAACAGTTTTAGTATCTTTAGATCTGTCAAAGGCCATTCACTCCACGCTACCAGAAGATATTGAGGCTTGTTCTCTCTGACAGGGACTGAAGAGGTGGTCGGCAGTCCTCTGACTGGTCATCGTTCGTCAGTCATTCTCAAAGACGAAAGCAACAAACAGAGGAAAATTAAACAGAGGGTTGTTGTTTTAGCGGCTACAGAGGGTCCCACAAGGAACCAAGGCGCGTCTAGAGGCATCTCTACGAACTGACGGACGAAGTGCAGAGGTTCAAAAAACATCCTCTGGACCCAACTGCATATCAACACGCCTTAAACGGCAGCCCTGGCTACTGCATGCCCGCAAAACCTCACCCAGCTAACGCCCCTCCCCTATGGACAGATCCGGTGGAAGTTGCACACTTCCTGGGAATCCCTTTAGCTGAGCCTGACGACAACGTTGATGGACAAGCCGCTACAATAACAACAAAAATGCCACCTCCGCGTTGGAAAGACCACGTGGAGAAGGATTTGGCTTCCCTTGGCATTTCCAATTGGCGTCAGTTGGCACAGAAGAGAAAAGATTTAGCGCCTACAGCTCCAATAAAATCGTAGGAACGACTTTTTGCTTTAATGGAGCCTATATCCTAATTTTATCCCTGCAGAATTTCTCAATGACGTAATTTAAAGACCATTTAGCTTTTTTAGTTCAACTTTCAACTTTATTNTGTCCCTGTGGACAGATCCCACAGAAGCTGCACGCTTCCTAGGGTTGCCGTTAGTGGAACTTGACGACAACGACTGAGATACCAACCGATCTGGGCGGGGTTGTTGTAGCCGCTACAACAACAACAACAACAACGTTGATGGACAAGCCGCTACAATAACAACAACAATGCCACCTCCGCGTTGGAAAGACCACGTGGAGAAGGATTTGGCTTCCCTTGGCATTTCCAATTGGCGTCAGTTGGCACAGAAGAGAAAAGATTTAGCGCCTACAGCGCCAATAAAATCGTAGGAACGACTTTTTGCTTTAATGGAGCCGATATCCTAATTTTATCCCAGCAGAATTTCTCAATGACGTAATTTAAAGACCATTTAGCTTTTTTAGTTCAACTTTCAACTTTATTTATGAATACGTGAAAATACGTGAGCTCTCATTTCCCTAGCGCATGACGTTCGTAGACATTCTCTTATCATCTTTGTTTCTTNGTAGGAACGACTTTTTGCTTTAATGGAGCCGATATCCTAATTTTATCCCTGCAGAATTTCTCAATGACGTAATTTAAAGACCATTTAGCTTTTTTAGTTCAACTTTCAACTTTATTTATGAATACGTGAAAATACGTGAGCTCTCATTTCCCTAGCGCATGACGTTCGTAGACATTCTCTTATCTTTGTTTTTTTATCTACAACTGTCGGTTCAATCATGCGTGCAATTATCAGTTTTATTGGATCAATGGCCAGTAGATTTCCATTTCAAGCAAAGTGACCGATAAAAAAGCAATAGAAAATATGTGTATGTAGTATGCACAGACGTGTACAGTAAATTAAGTTAATCGTTTTAAAAGCCTTAAAAAATGCATTGATTTGCACAAAACGCAGTGGCAACTGTATTTATTAAATGAACTTGATTTTCTATTTTTATAGGGAGTTTGGCAATCAAAACAAATGCAAATCATTTGTACTAATTTTTTGGTTTACGCTCTCAAACAAAAATACAAGAGTTTAAGAAAAACGNCAACTTTCAACTTTATTTATGAATACGTGAAAATACGTGAGCTCTCATTTCCCTAGCGCATGACGTTCGTAGACATTCTCTTATCATCTTTGTTTCTTTCTACAACTGTCGGTTCAATCATGCGTGCAATTATCAGTTTTATTGGATCAATGGCCAGTAGATTTCCATTTCAAGCAAAGTGACCGATAAAAAAGCAATAGAAAATATGTGTATGTAGTTAGTATGCACAGACGTGTACAGTAAATTAAGTTAATCGTTTTAAAAGCCTTAAAAAATGCATTGATTTGCACAAGTACAAATACAGTGGCAACTGTATTTATTAAATGAACTTGATTTTCTATTTTTTTAGGGAGTTTGGCAATCAAAACAAATGCAAATCATTTGTACTAATTTTTTGGTTTACGCTCTCAAACAAAAATACAAGAGTTTAAGAAAAATTACGAATCAGCAAGTACGCATAATTTTTTGTTCTAAGGTTTGTCAACCTGTGATACTACAATGTTTTCTGTAATCTACCTTACCTAAAGTTTCATTTGTTCTTTTTGTCTAGTTCTTCGTTTTTTCTTTGGGCAAGTGAAACCAGTCCCATGAGACGGCGCACTTAATTACAAATATACATACATTTCTGATTTTCATTTATTTTTTCTTAACAATAAATTTAGTTTTCTTTGATTTTAATTTGGATTTTAATTAAAATTTGATTCAAATAATTAAAAGCAATATTTTATGTTGTTTATAACAAATAGTTAAACTACAAAAGGTAAATCATTACGTAAATCAAATTTAATTAACTGTAACTACGATTACGTTATTTGGTGATGTTCTGTGCGCCTTTGCGTCCTTTACGTCTCTGCTGATGCATACATATGTGTGATCAACGTAAATTGTTTCCTGTTCAAGTTTTGTCCCCCTCTACTTGTTATAATGAGTGTATTTGCGAATTATTTTGATTAGATATCAATAAGTGAATTCATTTGCCAAACAGAACTGCAATTTGAAATTAATAATCACTCCTGTAGTTTTTAATTACGTTCGAAGTTGACAAACAAATACACTAATAATTTTCTCTCGAGGTTGTTCTTAGAAATACAAGCAAAACTACGAAGAAAAATTTAGAAGTGCTGTAAAAGTTGATCCTGATCATAAATAAAAATTGTAATCTGTGAAATTTGTTGCTTTTTCTGTTGTATATTATTTTGATACTTCTTCCACCGTTTTTGTTGCCTGAAACTGCTGTAACATTTTTTGTTTTATTCTCCGCTTTTATTACTGCTACTGTAACTGTCGTTGTAGACTTTGCTTCCTTTACACCTATTAACCCAAAAGCTAATTATCCAATTATCAGACCGCAGCCTAGTCGAAACTGATTTTTAGTATGATTCAAGCGCCCGCTCAGAGCGAAAGAAAATGGCAAAGGCTGCAGCCGCTTCTCCAATACACCGCAAACATTCCAATTAGAGTCGAATGAACCTACAAAGAGGAAATGCATATAAGTATCAGTGTTCGGTAAATCTATCGCCATTATACCTCTAAAAACGAGATCAGCTTTCGGTAAATCCACTTGGTAGCCGATCGTGGCAACAGACTCTTGCATCCTAAGACTAGTTTCCACTTCGACACCAATCTGCAATTGTTCACTGGCTTTTTGGTAATAGCATACATGTACGCCACCAGGTCCCAAAGTTCCCGACCACACCGAATCGCCTTGTGTATAACGTCCAACGGCTGATACAACGGCGATTTGACCACCGGGTACATTAGGACCGTATTGGTAGGCAAGTTCGGCACCGAGCGCGATGTTTTCAGTTACCGACTGTAAGTAGTGACCAACGAACACGCCAGAATTGTTGAAAATATTTGGATTACCAACAGTTAAAGAAGCTGTATAGTCGTCACCGCGGTAATCGGTTGTTAATTGGGCAGCTGTGAGCTTGGAATCTTGAATCTGAATAAGCAAGTTTTTACTTTTATATGTATAATTGTCAAACCAAAGATGCTACTTACTTGCGAGGCGAATTTGCAACGGACACGAGGGGTAAATTGGTGTATAATGTTGGCATTTAAATTTCCGGAGGGATCAATGTCCCCCAGCAATACGGGAAAAGCCTCCGAAGGGCCAAACTGTTTTGTTCCTACATAAGTAGCTCCAAAGCGATACCCGCTAGGCTGTGTACTACAGAGGTTCAGCGTATGGGAGACTTGGAAATGATTACTTAACCCCTTATTTAGCATAACTTTCGCACCTTCAAAGGTCATTGCCTGAATGTCTATGAAAGTAATAAAAGAAATGCAAATCATTCATAAGTCGTGTAATTTTAAATATTCGCAAATGGGTTTGAATCATTGTTTACACAATGTCAAATAGTAAACAGCGACTTTGCGCTGTTACTTTAACCACCGCCACCACCACCAACAGAATTAAAACGCCATTCTTTCACATGCGTTTGGGTTATGTCATCACTTTTGGTGGGCTCAGAGCGGTGGATTCTCCTTCTGTATGTTCTTACCTTTACATTTTTTATGCAGTTCTTCAACAGTGCCGGGGTTTTCAAGCTTTTGTTCCTTTAATTCTGCTTCACTAACGCCGGAACCCGCCAGTCCTGTCACTGGGGACGACGAAGGGTTCCGCGACGGACTTGATAGTTCCGGCAATCCCAATTTGGCAGCGTCTAGCGATGAGCTAGAGCTAGACGATGCGGCCAAAACATTCCCCATTCTTATTAACACACACACGCGTTACAATTTATAAACTTTCTCGTCACAATTTAAAATCCTTTTTATACAGGTTTTATCGAAGTCTCCCCAGAATTTTGAAACAAAAATGGGAAAGCTCACAAATTTTCCGATGAAAAGAACGAAAAAAACGCATTGACATATAATATTGACAGTTGGGTGAATTTCCACCACGTGCGTGGTGAGCTATTGCAGATAACAATCGATGGACAAACAGAGTTACCAGCACACAGTTTAACTAATTTTAATATTCGTAAAGAACGTTGATCCAAAGATGTAAATGTATTTAACTGACATAACCAGCTCTGAGCAAACTACGCAGCCGCCATTTAATTTCCCAAACCAAAGCTTGTCTGCATAACACCGACCACTACGGTCGGTTTTATTTAAATTGGAATAATGGCAAGCCTTGGTTTCATAACTTTTCCTATTCTCTTTTTATTTGACATACGTAAATATTGTAATTCTTGTCCTCTTTTTGCCTGAAAAAGTTTAACAAAATTTGACCCCAGTTTAATACAATTGTGTCATTTTGCGATACTTGAAAGTATTTCTTCCTGTTTAGGAGAAAAGTAAATAATGTGTTGAACGAAATCGAAAAAGGAAAATATGCAACCTCTAAATTCGAGCCTACTTTCATAACTGATTACTAGAGGCCATTGTGTTTATAGCCTATTCGTTCGGTAGCCACAAACAAAACCTCCAGAAGTCATGAATTTGCAGTCACTATTCAGGGATTTCAACCCAAGGTAAGAGGTATTTTGTTAGAACTTATTTGCTCAGCCTAATTTGGATTGCGCAGATATTGTTGCCCGTCCGAAGGTTGTTTCTCCATAGATGTATGTATGTAGATATGAAATCCTACGTGTTAATTTTTTTTTTATTCATAAAACCAGCAAGTTCATTGTGCACTGCAGTTTACTCACATTTGTAACACTATTCGCGCTCCGTTTGGACGGTTATATAGGTAAGATCTCTTAAAGCTAATAACAGACATTATCTGAAGATGAACTCTTCTTTCTTAGATTGGCCGTATTGGGCTATCTTTACACCGCTATGGATTTGGAAAGGAATCGCTGTGTTAGGAGCGGCTGTCGGAGCTGTAGTTTGGTGCCGGTACCCACACTATCGGTAGTGCTTTTAGTCTTCCTATTCTGTGTCACTTGTTCTTAATTATGTTCTTAATTTTTAGACTTGAAGGGGACTCATATACTCAATTCAAAGCTATGCTTATTTCTCTTTCGCTGCATCTCATATTACTTATGTTTGAGCTACTCGCTTGCGACAAACTCAGCTCAGGACGTCATCTATGGGTATTAGTGTTCATACCGTTGATTTTTGGATCAGTGGCCAGCGTGGGCGCTTGCGTTTGGGCTGTTAAACATGACCGTTCTTTTGAACTGGAGCTATTTTTAGCAGTTAATGCATTGCAGTTCGTCTCATTACCTCTTAAATTAGACCAATTCGTATACTGGAATTGGGAAGTTGTGTTTGTCCCCATGTGGATTGTGATCTGTCTGAGCTTAGTCAGTAAGTTTTAAGCATTGAAAATTGTTCCAAAAAAATTTTAGTAAATGGAAACGTTTCAGGTGTGCTTTACAATGTAATCTTTTGCGGTATTATGATGCGTACACCAGAGATATCACTGCAACAAAAGAAGGCTGCACTCAATGCAGCGGTGGGAAATATTTGCACTGTCTTGCCATTGCTCTGTTTTCAAGTATGACGTATAATTTATAAATTTCTTTATATATATCTAGATTCAACTCGTATCTCGTATTTATTTTTTTAGGTGGTGATTTGTGATAAGCTGGAAGGGGAACTGAAGTTTCCCTATATTGTTGTGTTCAGCCCATTGATGGTATCTATCTTCGCATTGATTGTATTGAGCTTTAGTGCAAAGGGTGGAAACAAATGGTGGTTTGGCATACGCAAATCTTTCAGTCAGTTTCTTCTCTCGGCTATGCCTTTCCTACAAGAATACGGCAATATATCTTATCACACTGATCGGTCTGCGGCTGCTCAATCTGTTCCACTGGACACCTCTACCAGCACATTGCATATGGGCGACTTTAATAAGCATGACAAGAAAAGCAAAAAGGGAGCTAAGAATGATAGTATGAAGCCGGTTGTACCTATCATCAGTATTGATATGCCCGATTAAGTAAATTGCCCAAAAAACAATGCGCTTCAACATAGCTACTCTAGCTAAGCTTAAGGGAACTGAAACTATTAGAATTTAAATTATATATACATAGGTACATATGTAAATAATGATGCTATAGGTGTATACATAAATAATAATGCTATAGCGTAGATTATCATTATTTAAGCAATTTTGTTTAAACCTACAGATTTTGCAGAAATTATTAGATAATAACTCAAAAAAGCACACTTTTACACTTACATTTAACTTTGTAGGTTTATTTTAAAATCTCAAACCACACGTTAGTATTCGTATATCATACCACATTTAAGTCAAATGCATTTTATATTTTTAAAGAATTTTATTTTATTTCACCTCTAACATGTGCATGAATAATTTAAAAAATATATGTATATAAAATAAAATTAATATATGTATACACACGCACATGTACATACATGTATATTAAATCAGGCGCTTTCTTCAATAAAGTTAAATACATTCTTTAAACTAAGTGCTCATTCTGATATGTATACACATAGATTTGTTTTCGTATGGAACAGCAGCTTATTTCGAAAGGCTGGCTTTAGTTTAATGCGGCACTTGCAGCATGCGATTGCGAATGACTGACTAGCGCCAAAACTTTTGGCAAATAAAAGTGCAGAAATCGTTCCCATACTAACAAGTCAATGTTCTTATTAAGTCCCACCAAAAAATTCCTTGTCGTTTAAGGAATAAAGGGAATGCCGCATTATACTATAGCCATCTTCCCGATATAAGCTATTATTCCATGCAAACACAGAGATATACATACATATATATGTATGTATGTATGCATATATAAGTTGATAAAATAATCACTTTTCATGATTTTACCAGAAGAAAAAGTTCGGGTAAAATCTTGAAACTTCATTCTCTACACAACTCTCCAAAAGTCGCTCTCATTTACAGGATTTTGGAGGATTTCGGAGTACGGGAACATTTTTCCTGCAACTTCCTGCAAGTTCGTGTAAAATCCTGTAAGTTCATGGAGTACTGGATCAGAGCTATAATTGAATATGCGGAAAAGCGAACGTCCTTATACCATGTTCTGACCGACAACGAAAACACTTTGAAAACGAGTTTTGGGCTTGTGGGCTGAAAGCTGTTCACACCGGCTGTTAGTGTTTTCGTTGACATTTCTTACATCTTTTTTGATTACAGTTTTGCCACATAAAAACAAAACCAAAACACTTTCTTTTCATTTAAAAATGATAAAATATGACTTCCACTTCGATAGATAATCGAAAAAAAACTAGTGAAGGCACCGATTGGAATGAGTGAGTGCTCAAGTAGTTTTCAGCGAAAACTCTTTCATTTGACAGATTTTACATGGACGAAAAGACCAGTTTTAGGTCAAAAACCAGTTCTAGCAACGAAAACATGTTTTCGATGTCGGTCAGAACATGGTATTACATAAATTCCATTTTTGGTGTGGTGAAATATTAAATACTTGACAATTTGAGCACTTAGGCGATTGTAATAGATTTGCTATGCAGAATGTGAAATTGCAACCCTGTATTTCGGTCGCCGCATACAAAGCTGAAAATTTTCTTTCTTGCAGGCGTTTCTTGAAATCGATCAATAAAAAGCTAAGTTTTCAGAAAAATTCTGTGCAAACAGCCAAATTAACTGAAACAGCATAGAATATAGGTTTATTCTGACTTACTTAATATTCTTATGTTATTAGATTTTGCATAAAGTTAGCAAAAAGGTTTCAGATTAACTTTTGCCGGAACGCTGTATAAGCAGGATTTTAAAGACAAGTGAGTAACATTTTGTGTGAATTTGTGAAAAAATGAATATCACTGCGGGTGAACCAGTACCACCTGGTTTCGAAGACGAAGTCAATCGGGAACCAGAAATTCAAAAAGCGATTGACCAATATAAAGGCAATGCTCTTGTCGGACTTGAATATACACTGGAGCTACACGAAGAAGATCGTCATGAGCCAGGCTACTTTTGCATTCTTTGTGACAAGCGTGGTGATCCACGTACAATTATGCAACATTGGACATCTTACAACCACCGATTGAAATATCTAGAGAAGCATTTTCCAACGGCGGTACACGAATTCAATCCCATCAAGTACAAGCCGAATTCGCAGCAGATTCTCTTGGCCGTGGTTCAGAAATTAGCAAAGGCTATTGAAGACCATCATGGCCGTTTGCATTTGACAGTAGCAAACATTGATGACTTTCGTCGTATGAAGGCCAAATTCGTTGGGGAAATCAATAATAAATACCATTTTGATGAAAGGAATGGACCTAATTTCCTTGAGACTATTGATCGCTCTCTTTGGGAACCGAACCCGGCCCCGAACCCTATAAAAAATATGGACCAGACATTGCAGATAACTATTAAAGCACCTAAGCGTATAACAAATGAGGAAACACCAACAAAATCCACTAACCGGGATGATTTGGATGAAATTTCCAGTGACTCGGATGGGCAATCAAGTTCTAAAAAAACAAAGAAAAGGGAGCAATCGCCAGCATATCGAGTATTGCCAAGAGTTCGACGTTCGCCACCTTTCGAAGAGGAACGAAGTGATGAACGTAAGGATGCTGATAAGAAATTGCCGACACCACGGGAATTATCCCTGCAAGCCTCTCACATTGCACAAGAGAAATATAAATGGGAAAAATACAGATGTATGCTTGAAATACAGCTAAGGCAAATGGAAAAAATTCAACAGGACTATGATAAAAATCCGGAAAAACATCCATTGTATCCCGAAGAATGGAAAAAGTTCTGGAATCGGCGGTATAAGGAGTTGCAAGCTGAAAAGAAGACCGATCCTAATAAATATGATTACAAACCGGAATGGATCGCATTCTGGACAAAGCGTATGAAGGATTTATTTAACGTTGAGGTTGAAAAGAAGAAAAAAGAAATAAAAGTGAAACTTGGTCTGCCTGAAGATGCCGAAGAAAAAGTAGATCAACTGAAAGAAAAGTATAAGGTGCAAATAGGACGTAATGCAACCGCTATTACATCTGGTGGTCATATTTTAGGACCCAAAGTTTCGGACAGAAACGTTGAACCTGCTCCCAAGCGTTCTAAAAACCTAGGTGATGTTATAAACATCAGTGATGACGAATCTCCGGTGCGACGTCGACCTCGTCGTACCCGTACGCGATCTCGTTCTCGTTCTGCTTCGCACCCGCGATCTCGCCCGCGTCGTTCCCGTTCTAGATCGCGTGGTCGTGACTATAAACGATCGCGTGACCGATCCACTTCATTGTCTAAAAGTCCGGTCTCTGATGATTATAACCCCTATCCCGTGCAACCTCATCCCCATCGTCATCGTCATCACCCAAGAAGTTACGTCCCACCTGTTGAAAGTGATTATTTTAGCTCATCATATCCACCTCGCAGTAGATTTGCTCCCGCTCCAACTTCATCGCATTATGGTGCGACTACTCATTACAGAGTACTAGAACCTCATCAATATCCAAAATATGAACGTTCTCCATCACCAAACTCGAAATCGGCACCAGCAAAGGAAGAACCGGAACCGGAGGATGAGGGCCCGCTTACTGTGGTAGCAGTGCTGCGCTTACTCACAGCTCTTGAGGATCATCTGGGCAGCCTCGGTCCGAAGGTAGTCGACTTACTTGGAAAAGCTTTGGCACTGGAGAAAGTAAAGGCCAATTCGGCAGATGATTTGTTGTTGAACGATGACCATGTTGTGTTCTTTGAAACTATTAAAGAGAAATTAAAAGGCATCTTAATTGCTGATGTTCTCGATGATCAACAAAAAGTGCGAGCCGTTAAAAAAGCTATCAGAAATATTGCCGCTGCCGTTCATCAGGTTACCACAAAAGGTAAGTACCAACATTTTAAAACAGTAAGTATTAAATCGTAATTGTAAGCTAGTTTATTGATAACTAGGTCTAAGTTATATATTTCACACAAAATGTACGTAGTATGTAATAATATGTATGGATATTGTTTATTTGTGATCCAACATTCTTAAGGGGTTTCGGTACTTCAAGATAATTAGGTTAAGTGCATTGTAAAGAAGGGGTTTGGGCGGTGAGAAAAGAATGTTCAACTCGTACACCAAATATTCAGGTGTACTTTAATATAAAAGTGACGCAACTTGTGTTTATTCGTTGTTCTACAAATAGCACAAAACCTAAAATGAAATCCGCGTATTCGAACTGCGTCAATCGGATTTTTGTGATGTTACGTTTAAAAGAGAATAAGGGATCATTAGCATGCGAAATTTCTATTTCCTGTTAAGGAATATAGAATCGTAAAGATGGTTGGGGTGGTGCATAGGCCCGTAGTCATAAATAAATTACTGGCAGGCTTTAGCATTTAAAACCGTAATTTAAGTTAAAACATGATTTTAACTATACAATCATCAACTTAAAACACGTGATTCCGCTTAAAAGGCGATCTAAGTTTAAATGAAGTGAACGAGATTTAAAAATATGAAAAGGACGCTATAAATTGATGTTTTGCTTTCAAAAGCTGCAAAAAATTTAAGTGTTCCTTATCTTCAAAAATTTAAAAAGTGGCTAATATGCTTCACATTCAAGTAATGTTCGAGTTTTTGGGTTCTTGGATGGATGGATGGATGGTGGCAACCAAGGGCCCGTTTCTGAAGAGATTCAAGTGTGTGTTTTTGAAAAGTGCAGGTATTGTTCTCAGAAACACAAACTTGTGAAAAATTGCTATTTACAAGCAGACCACTTTTATTAGAACCGTTGTATTTTTTCAGAAACGGGCTCCACAAAAAGGAAGTAGAGGAGTGTTGAGTGTTTTTATTCGCGATAACACTTCGGATTTGTTGTTGTACTCAAACTGTTTTGGGAAATGTTGCTGATAAGAGAGCCCTTATTATTGTTTGTATATTAAGTTATATAAAATATAAAAAATTTTATTTACTTTTATTTTGCTACCCCATATTCTACAGACTATATGCCAGTGAAATTCAGCTGGAACAGGTTGAAATTATTATTATGGTCATATTTCTTAAGAGTGTTTAGGTATTTTTTTTTTGTTATTTGATGACTGACTGTTTAGCCTCATTCTAGGAAAAATTTAAATTTCTACTCGTAATCTAACGTTTAGATAGAATGTGTTTTTTAACTTACGATTATGACTTCGGGCCGAACATTTTTNGTCCGAGAAGGTCAGTGTTAAGGACTTACCGTTTGACCGTCAAGTTGTGTCGACGAAATTGGCTGCCGCATTAGTATTTCAAGGCCGTGAAGATGTGTCCACAGAAGATATGGATAAGTTGATTTATCTATTTATTTTGTTGGTAAAATTATCTAAAGAAAAACAAGATGTTGACGGTAAAGGCTTGCAGCTCGGAGCTGTATTATCAACGTTAGGCATATATGTACCAGATTCAGCCACTTCTACTGCGTTGGCCGCTTTGCCAGCTCTTGTAGAAGAGCTA